GAAGCTGTCGTTTCAATGTTGAAGATGACATCCATGACAACAATAACACTATTATATACACAGTTACGATGCGACAAAGAACGGTCGAGAGAGCGAGCGAGCGAGCGAGCGAGCGAGCGAGAGAGAGAGAGAGAGAGAGAGAGAGAGAGAGAGAGAAAAAGAGAGAAAAAGAGCCAATCGCCGGGGCGCATGTGTGAACTTCGGGGCATGCACACACGACAGCCGATCGCCGGGGAGACATGATGTCATCTGCTACATCGATTGGCTGAACGGATTGGGGATGGTTAACACACACACACACACACACACACACACACACAGAATAGGAGGTCGGGACGCGCCGCTGGCGATGGCAACGGTCGTCGTTTGTCTGTCACCCTACGTGCGGATGACCACCGCCCTCCAATCCGCAGGACCGGTCGCCGGCAAACCGACATGCCCCTCACAGGCCAAAAAAAAAGAAAAAAGGGATTAAAAAAATAAAAAAAGCTAGTCCAGGCCTCACACAATGCCACCAGCCACAGGGACCCCGCCGTAACGTGTGTCCGTTCGTCGGACCATACCGGAGGCCGACTACGCCACATGTGAAAACGTAGCGAATCCAAACAGACAAAAAAAAAAAAGAAAGCGAAAGGTACCGCAGGACACAGGCTCGGCAAATTCGGCGCGCACTATAATTCAGGGTCGGCAAAAACAGGCTCGGAGCTACTAAAGCAACTGCGCTCCGCCACAAAAAAGTTAAGTGAACCGGGTAAGGCGCAGCCTAATGGCTGCGAACTTTCCGGAAGATTCCACAGGGATAGTCCTGTCTCCGTCACGCTTTCACCCACAATAAGGCCGAGAAACGTCTCCAGATTCAGAAGAAAAGATCCATTGCAGGGGGACAGACCCGCTGGGTCCGAGTGGGCTGGCTGGGCAGAAAGGTGCAGGCCTGGGCCGACCCGATTCGGCTTTCTGGAGGACCTCGGTCAAGGACCCGGTCCTCCTCCCTACTAAAACTCCTCGGCCCCCTGCAAAGCGCTCAAAAAAAAAAATCACCCTCCCAACCCAACGACCGTGCTGGGCGTACGCCAACGACACCAACGACCGGTATAACCAACCAACTGTGAAAAGGCCTCGGGTGCATAAGGGCATATCCCCTACCCCCCCTACGGGTTGCAAACACTTGTCCATTCTTGATGGCGCCTGGCGCATAGCATGGCTATACCCACGTGTCGGGATCGTGACCTCGTTATCCCCCCCCTCTCTTCGAGGGAGAATCAACATCACCCCCCTGATCTAGGTCACCCGCCCCTGGCTCCTACATCAACGAGCAATTGCAGGTCAGCGGCAATTTCCACGTCAGCGATGAATTCCACGTTAACTAATGCGCGCCGAGCTGAGAGAGAATAGTGGTGGTCGTGAAAAGTAGGATGCCTTACGGAGGAAAGGTAGGTGAAACTACCTTTTTCGGTCTTTTGGCTAACATCAATCAAGTGTAGTGTCAGTTCTGATCAGTTTTTTTTTTTTTTTTTAATGAAGAATCTCACTTTATTGCTCAAGAAAAGAAACAAAACAATTCACCCCCCATGTCCTTCGGGACATCCGTTAATATTGGATCGATACAGAGAAAGAAGGCTTGCATGTTAATAAATGATTGATCTTCTCTTTGGAAAAAAAGAAAAAAAAAGAAAAAAAAAAAAAGAAAGAAAATTAGCACGGCCCCTGCGCAAGGATGGCATGCGTAAATCGAGAAATGGTCCAATTAAAAAAAAAAGGAAAAAAAAAAAACAATTCAACGCCCGCGTATACTCTGAGAGCATTACTCAGCCTCGCTTACAGCCAGCCAGCCGGCTGGGACTCGCAGATCACGATAACAGGCAGACACGCATCTCAGTACTTCCCTCCCTCCTCCCTCAAACATCTTTTTGTTTTTTTAATATTCAAATTCACATTTGCAAGCTTCCTTCTTTTCTTTTTTTTTTTTCTTTTTTTTTTCTTCAAACTTTCCAACATATTTATTATCTAACACGAGCGCTGATCAGTTTTATATCTGATCCGTGGTCAATTGGGAATAATAATAATAGTAAAAATAAAAAAAAGAGAAAAAGGCGGAAGTAAGTTTCTTCCCGCGCTGTTTCCCGCGCCGCGGACACTCTGCCGCGGTGGTGTCGTGCATGGCACATCCTTCTGTTTTCACATGTGTCCTATCTTTCATGGTTCTTCTTTTTGTTCTGTTTTCACATGTGTCCTCCCTTTCATGGTTCTTTTTATCTCCTTCTTTCCGCCAACTAAGGAGGGCCTCGCCTCACGTTTTTTTTTCTTTTTTTTTTCTTTCTTACTTCTCACGAAACGAAGAAAATGCCAATGCATTTTCCTGCAGAAGGGCACAAAATACATGCGGTTCTATTTATAGTATCACATGTATCTCGCCAGCTTCTGCGGAAATATTCATTCGCCTTTTCTTTCATATTCTCGAGTATTGTGGCGAGCTCCTAAGAACGGCCATGCCCCACCACCCATTTAATCGAGAAGCAGTTTAAAAAAAAATTTGTTTTTTCCCTTCCTTTTCCCCCCAATGATCCTTCCGCAGGATCACCCATGGAAACCTCGCTGCCCGCCAAAGGGAGACCGCCGCGATCACAGCACCGGGATCCGGACACTTCACCTGACCGTTCAATTGGTAGGAGCGACGGGCCGTGCGTACCAAAAGCAGGGACGCAATCAGCGCGAGTTCCTTTTCAATTAATTAATTAAGTAATTAAGTAATTAAGTAATTAAGTAATTAATTAATTAATTATTGAAGAGAGAGTTCATGACTCACGCTTACTACCGCCTTTCCCCGTACATAACGCACCCCTGAAACTGAACGTATACAAGGTGTGTTTCAGGCTCGACGCAGTCAAAATGACGGTGCGTTGTGTTCGGGGGAAGACGGTAGGCATTTGTACATCGTTCTTTTTTTCTCCCTGTTTTTTTTATTTTTATTTTTATTTAATAATGATTTGGATTGTTGCTTAACTTATACGTGTCAGCCTTGCAC